ATTATTTATAATTATTATTCAGTATTGAAAATCCAAATAATTCATTAANAATACAAAAAAAAAAAAAAAAACGAAAGTAATATTTCTGAGATTAAAGCTAAGAAATAAAATCTCACACAATTATTTTCATCAATTTACATTGTATTAATGCAAGTAAAATATCGAATTTTTCATTCAAATATTAAATTAATTCCATTTCTTTTTTGATTTCATAGCATTTTCATTTTGAATTGATTATATAATTCAAATTTAATCAAACCTTTTATCGTATTTTGGTAACAATTCATCAAGTTTTTTAATAAATTCCAAACCATAAATGACAACTTCGGTCGTATCATTTATTACGATTATTTTCTCATTTGATGAACCAATAGTTCTACAAAAAAAAAAAAAAAAAAAAATTAAATATAAGTAATAATTATAATTATAAAATATTATTTATTTCAAGTTCCTTTTTCTTTTTAATTTCATATTTCAAAAAAAAAAAGTTAAATATAAGTAATAATTATAATTGTAAAATATTATTTATTTTAAATTCTTTTTTTCTTTTTAATTTCATATTTCATTTTTGCTGTCACAATAAATAGTTATTTAATAAGAAAAAAAAAAAAAAAAGAACATACTGAAAAATCGTACTGAAGAATAATAACCAATTAAAATTTGGGAATTCCTTTGTCATTTGTTCAATTGTCATTTTATTGTACAATTCAGCAATATCATGTCTTAAATCTTCGGATAATGTGAGCTGAATTAATTTAATTTAACCTTTAGTTATTACACTCTTTTTGATTTTGATATTAATTAATATTTAATTTTTTTTTTGTTCAAAATGATTTTTTAAATTATGAAGTTTTTTTTTTGTTTTAAACTAATTTGTAATTAAAACTATTCTGACTATATAGCTTTGTAAAATTTAAAAAATTTTTATTTCAAACGGACATTTGCAAGATCAGTTTCGAATTGTAAAATTTCATCAAAATCACGACTGAATGCTTCAACTCGAGCATCCAATAATATTAAAGCATCTCTAATTAATGTTTTATATGCTAATCGTTCTTCTTGTGTTTCGGGTAAAATGTAAAAATCTCGAGCGAATAAATTCAATGCTGGTTGATCAATCTGTAAAAAATTTTTAGATAATATTTTGAAATTTTTTTTAAATTCAATTTTTTTTTTTAAAAATATCCTCTAAATTTATGATATTTATAAATTTTATTTGATAATAATTTTAGTATTATGCTTTTTAGGCATAAAATTCTTTCGACATTTTGCATTTTTCATCAAATGTAGGATTTTTAAAAAGAATTAAATAATTGAAACATTACTAATATGCTAATCAATTTATCAACCCCTTATCAAACCCTTGTCAATTATCAACCCCTTTATCAGTTTTCTTTTTTTTTAATGTTATTAAATTTAATTATAACGATTAATTGTGAAATAAAATTCTCACCAATAAAACATTTTGTTGTGAATTTTTATCATCTGGTTGAACAGTTGCTTTAAAAAGTGAATCACTTTTAAATTTAGCCACCATTACACCATACATTTGCTCGATTGGAATCCTTGGCTTCTCATTAACTTTTCCCAAACTTGGCCATCCACCAAAACTTTCCACTACATCATCAAATACTTTCCTCCAAGTACTCATTATGGCAGCTAAAAAAAAAAAAAANAAAAAAAA